CCCACTATTGTTGAGTCATTTGGGTTTTTGATTCCCAGGGGCGGATCCAGGGGATGCACCCCTCCTTTCACCCAAAATAGGTACATAAATAAACAAATAAAAAGAAGAAGGAGGGGATTGAGAGAGAGAGAGAGAGAGAGAGAGAGAGAGAGAGAGAGAGAGACATAGGAGGGGTCAAACTGCCTGTAATATCACCACAGAGCGCATCGAATACAAAATGGCCCCAGACCGCACGCCGTACGAGCATTTTACCGTTACTGTTTTAGTTCACGCCCCCCTCCTTGGGAAAATCCTGGATCCGCCCCTGATTCCATACCTTCAGTGTGCACACCAAGTAGCACTGCCGGGGTGGGGGTTTAAGGAGGTGTGCCTGTGCGTCCTCATATAGGCCTATTGTTTCCCCTTGATGTTACCATGGATGGGGAGATTTACACTAGAAGCTTTTGGCGCGGACACTTTCCCTCTTCACGCAAAGGGCGGTGAATAATATTTTTATTGGCACTCCGTGTTGTCACGTTGGCTGTGCAATGTTTGAATCAGAAATTGAATGAAGAGCTCCCACCAACTTTTCTTTGCTCTTCATCCCTTCCACAAAAAAATCCAGCGAGTTTGTTACTGCTCATGACGACAAAGTGTGCAAAAGATGTTCCTGCCCAAAACAGGGGATTGAAGAATCCAACTTTAACCGAGACATTCAAGATCCTTTCCCAATTTTTTTCAAAATATTTCCGGGCAGAAAAATTTCGATGAAAAAGCGAAGATCGTGTAATGCAGTTTTTTTTCCATGTCAGAGAGCGCCCTTGAGACTATAATGCTCAAAAACCTGCAAATTTCAACAGCTTGAGAACACTCGGGATGCAAGGCCAATGTAATAACTAAATGACTTTGGGATCGATTGCATACAGTACCGAAACCTGAGTCCCTGGAGCTAGCGGAAGTGGTTGTGTTCCAGGTACCACCACACTTCCATTCAAGGGTGATTATTCTGGGAATGTAGCAAACTATATCGAAAAACGAACTCATACTGAACAAACTTCGTGCAGCGATAAGCACCACATTGAACTTGAAGTTGACTCACAGTGACAAACGAACGGGCAAGGTGCGTTGCGTGCGCACACTAGCTCGATCGTGGTTCGAAAGGTGAGCAACCAACCCAACCAAACCGGCTAACTGCAGCTTGAAATGACACGGGGCATCTATCCACCCAGAGCAGAAACACCCCCCTCATCGGTTGAAAGAGCCATGTTGGTCGGGAGTGTTCATTTTGTTGGTAGCAATGCAACTGCAACGCTTGCATTTCATAGAAATATTAAAAGGCTGCGTAGCACTGTGAACAAGCGATGTGCAGTTACTACCGAAAGGAGCCTCAACTGCAGGTTGCTAGGAAAATTGCGCCTCCCTTGGTCCAGCTCGGAACCCATAGTTTTGGCTGTAGTCTTTTTAATGAAAGTCATTCGTAATTTGAAGCCACAGTCAGGTATATCGGAAAAAGCCCAAAATTCGTGTGAATGTGCACAGCCCAAGGCCCAGACCATATATGCCTCGTCTTCTTTTTACGTGGATTTGAATGGTTTACATATAGTACTCACGGGGTCTACTATACTAGCGTCAGCCGATATCATTGTTAATATTAGGTGAACACTTTCCTACTTTGTTTTTCCAGTGATACGCAGCTAGCAACCCCTGTTTGGTTTGAAATTATTTTGAGAAAGTTCTTAATTCATCTCTCGCAGAGTAGATTCGGTCTACTTCTTCCCCTTTCCTAAACCAGTTCCCCTTTTCTCTCTTTCTAATCCGTTTGTCTATTCACCTGCCTTCGTGTTGATCTTAACTGCCTTTCTATGCGTGCATTCCAATTTTACAATATTTAGCTTTAGGAACTTGTTCTGGTAGTGGGATTTCATTATGAAGGAGCGTCTTTGAATACTGTAGAAGTGTCAGTGTTTATAGAAGGGTAAAAGTTTTAACCAAATAGAGGGACAATTTTGGATGACTTCCCTGCTTTCCCTCATTAACCCTAACAGTCCTCAATCCTCCAACAGGTGAAGGATTGATGACTGTTAGGGTTAATTAAATAAAAAAGTCGATGCATTAAGATCGTAAAGCAAATGAACACATCCATCTTTCTCAATACTTCGTACATATTAAACATTTTAAGCTAATTGATTTATATCATCAATGACACTCAAGAAGGTTTTTAAGTTCATCAATTTAATGACTATAATCAAATAAGCATGGGAAATGTTTCCTCGAAGAAGAAAGGAGTGGGATGTAATCTGTAGGGCGGAATATGAATTAAAACCCGTGTGGCGTTAGCGCGTTGTCTTCCCTTTGTTACAGAATGTTCCAGCCATATTTATAATGGGCCTATAGGTCTTTACTCCGTGCTCCGGCAAATATTAATTTTGGGGCTCACAGAAAGGACATACTTATACAAACATAATGTAAGTATTGAAGTGTTGTTTAATTATTGACAAAATGTCCTCTGCTGCAGCACATCTAATAAATCTGTTTTCTGTTCAGTTTAGAATACAAATTACCATGTCGTTAATTTATATCTATACAGTATTGAAATTCTTAAAAAAAAACACAGGCTTAACTTCACCACAGATTATTTTTATTGATTCAGTTAGCAAAGTTACAAATTTTATTTAATTTAGAAATTCTAGAACACGAATTGCGAAAATCATTGCACACCGCCAAATGTAAGACCTACTGCGGCATAAATAGAGGTTATGCGTTAATGCGTCCTCAGACGGCAAGAGTTTTGTATCACTCGATTATGCTCGAGTAAACGTTTTGTACATTAAAATTAAAATAGCAAAAACAGCCTCTGAGACCCCATGGAGACGCCAAAATGCATAACCTCTATAACTGAAAGATTATCAACTCTTTCGGAAAGTCATGCTAAATGAAGTTCTTTGTAATATTGCACGAGTCCATAAAACATATATCGACAAAAGTGCCCTGAGTGTGTGTGTGTGCATAATGTGTCATAACTTGCAATATTTAATGTACATTTTTATGATACAGAAATATATCACCAATGACTGTACACAAACAGAAGTACTTTCCTCGTGATTGGTAAAATGCTACCAATGAACAAAATTACAACAATTCACGAAGGAATTGCATTCATGGCATCAACCACGTGAATCGACTTCAAGATATTTCGTTGCCATTTTCCGTGAACGGTAAACGTGTATGTGTTGGGCTCTTCTTCTTAAAGGTGAACACAATTAGGGACCGTTAGAAATGGTACGCGTACAAGTTACACGTGCGCCTTGAGGAAGTGCTTAATCATCATTTGGCGTAATTACTTTATCCGAAACTTACTTTATCTCGTACATGTCATCTCAAGATATTCGTGTACGCATACGTCCAGTTTTGAAATAACCGCTCAGACTAATGATACAAGTCTCACAATCTAGTTAGTACAAGCCACACCATTTTGTACCGGTAGCGTTTGTTTGTTTGTTTT